AAATAAAAATTTAATATTGCGTATGAACAATAATAGAAATTTTCATTTTCCCTATATGTAATTTTTCTTGATTATTTTTCCTTAATAAAAAAATGTTAATTAGTATTTAGATAAAATGTTAAATTTTTATTTAAAATTTATATTTTAAAAATTAAAAAAATCAAATTACGTCTACTCAAAATAAATAAAGTGAGTACTAAGGAGACAAAGAATTAATTAATGTAAAGAGTTCTCACCAAACATTTTTCTAGTTATACACTCTTGGAGGATGTAAAAGCCACGGTCAACGTTTAGAGACTCTAATGGAGTCTCACGGTACAGATAGCGTGTCGTGTCCTCTTGAATTGTGCTGGAAGCCAATTCAACTGGGATCTTTCCATCATTGTCTGGGATGGTAAGCAATTTATAGTTCTTTCTAACTAAACTTTGTGCAATTGATTTCCCGACTCCGCAACGAGCAGCAATGGAAAGAGCCGTGCTCCCAGAATAATCTTCTGTTTCCAAGTCTTCTTTTGACAACTGGTCCTCGATCAAGTAATCAACAATTTTGCTCCTCCCATTATAAACTGCAAAATGAAGAGCTGTGTACCCATTTTCAAAAATTCTTCTAGATATTGGATTCGAATTTGCTCTAAAGAACCTCTGTACTTGCCCAAGCTCCCCACTGGAAATGGCATTAATTAAGGTCTCATATCGCCAATCTGTGAGATTTCCAGGGACTGCATGCGAATGACAGTTGTATCCACAATAAAATCAACACTCTCACCAATTCTTCTTTGTATTTTCAAGATTAAAATAAACATTATAGATAAATTTGTTAACCATCACATCTGAACCTATACCTGAAAAAACTCAGACCGGATTGCAGTCTCTCTATTTAACAGAGGCGAAAAAGAAAAAGAAATTAAAGCAGAGATGGAATAGAATAAAACCTTTTGGCCTTCCTAGGGGGGGCTCAAAAATGACCTGATCTGCGGGTTTGTACATAGCAGCCAAAGCATCCCAAACATCTTTAGCAGATTTCATCTCCTTTATTTGTTCAAACATTTCTTCTCCACATGAAATCTTAATGGCATGCAGAGCTAAAGCATTCTTTTTAATCCACTCTCTCCCCATATTTCTTTCTGTAGACAACTCACCGAATTCAACAACATCCCAAAGATCTTGACCCACTAAATAGTGCTCCAAGAAAATGCTCCACCTTTCGTAGTTATTTCTTTTAAGAACTTCAGGTACAATCACACTTGCATTTGGAGCTACTGTTTCCATCTTCCTGCCTATGAAATATTTAATCCCATAAAACAATTTCTGTTAGTGTCAGCATATAAACATGAGATAGATGAACCAAGCTGACTATATATATATATACATACTTATGTGGGATTAACGAGATGAATGTGCTTCCCCAAGCAGCAGCCGTGCGCGAGTAGTAACGAAACCCGAGAGCACACCACCTGTTTAATTTTCAAAACTCAAATGAAAGTAATTTGATCATATCAATGAGGCTATATATATATAGTTATGGATCATCAATAAGCTCTATTAGTAAAAGGAAAAGTAGAGCTATGCAGGAAAGATAAATAACCTGCTGTCATTTGGGATTTGTGGCCATGCTTTAAATTGTTTTATTATTGAATAATATAAAATGTTACAATATTATATAAAAACAGTAATTGATACACACTTTTAAGACCTTAATATAAATATTTTTTGGTTCAAAAAATAATTGGCTAAATTTAATAAATAGTCTATTAACATGTGGTATATTTCAGTTTAATTTAGAATAATTTTTTCTTTCAAAATGATTTATAAACTATCAATTTTATTTTAAAATGATATACTTGATAAACATTTCGATAATTAGACTAATCAGAGTTATTTTTTGCAGTTGACATGTGCATCTTAAACTTTTGAAAAATATTAAATATAGTATATATATTTTTGTTTTTTACAATATTTTATTTTTAAAGTTTAAATTTTATATCAAATGTAATAATTAATTAAGATAATAATTTTAATTTACATTGATCAAGATTTTAATTTTAAAGTTTATTCTTTGCTTTGTCTGATCACATGTTGCTACAAGAATATTATCTTTTCTAACAAAGTAAAATAAAACATGTAAACCACCTCTTCTTCATGTCATTATTATGCCCGTCATAGAATTAATAAAAATAATTAGTGTGAGAAAGTATTAATTAAATAATATCATCAAAATAA